ACATAGTACTCACCACACATTGAGGGTGTATGAGACTATCAGCCCCCCAGATGTCGATGTGTCGTGGTCCCCCCCAAACATGCCCGGGAATGGAGATACAGGGCCGTGAAACACGCTAATTCTTCCATGCTCCGCCCACTGCCTTTTTACGGCGCAGATTCCCGCCGTTCATAACATCCGTCGTAAGCGCGCCTGTCGCGTGCGGCTCCTTGGCACTTTGCCAAGTCCTTTAATTGCGCTCCAAATACCAAGGGAAACGCATTTCCTGACTGCGGATAGAACATGGAGGTGCTACAAAATAAGAAGCAGAAGATGATGACGAGGGTCAGAACTCAAGAGCAACTCGGCTGCATCTGCAGTATCCATCAAGGGCCGCGCATTCCCACAAAACATGAAAATAAAAACTAAAAACGGCATACTCGTTAGTTTAATACAAGCAAGACGCAATTTCCTGATGCGAATAAAATTTAAGGTGTTGCTCATGCTTCAAAATCCATGTACAAGGAGATGAAGATGACACAGGCTAGAAATGAAGCACAACGATGTAAATGTAAAAACAAAAATGAAAAAATCAAGGAAAGGCAAATTAGATAAACTGGCCTGTAAATTTCTACGATCCGGCGCCAAAGCCATAGAAATACTTAGAACAAACGAGTGGGACGCTTGGGCTGTTTTTATTTTCATGTTTTGTGGGAATGCGCGGCCCTGATGGATACTGCAGATGCAGCCGAGTTGCTCTTGAGTTCTGCCCTCGTCACGGCATTGTTGGGCGGGGGGACCACGACACATCGACATCTGGAGGGCTGATAGTCTCATAATTTTAGCATTTAAGCGCGACGACGCGACGCTGTCAAAATCCGGAGCTGCCCTCTTTGGGCTGTGAGCTATCTCCTCTAATTCTGTCTCATAACAGATCGGTGGGAACACGCGCTTCCACTTCGGACAACGTGAACATTTCAACAAACAACGTCATCGAATTTTCAACCGCTCACTTGATCAAGGAGGCAGTGGATTTTTTGGAAGTCAGCAGAAAACTTGACTACCACCTTGAGCGCTTTCTATCCCATAAAGTTGACAACGTGGCCAAAAGAGGCAACTAAAATGCTCAGCTGCCTACGCAAAAAATTCCTCAAGCAAGGACCAGTCATGCATATTCTCGAAGGTCTAAATGGGGAAAAGTACACAACAGATAAGGATAAAGCGGAAGCTCTCGCAGACTACTTTGAAAGCGTTTTCGTTCCTGATTCTGGGGGCGATCTAAATCTTCCTCCCATCACTAACATGTGTCTCAAATTCCTAATCATTAGCCCCGCAAATGGTGTAAAACGTTGACGATCCCTCAAGCCTGGATTTTCTTTAACATCGGATGGCCTACCACAATTCTTTTTCAAAGCGTTTGCGAAAGAGCTCTCCGAACCTCTTACTATAGAACATCTCATTTCTTCTTGGACAGGTCCCATTCATATGGAAGCCCCCTATAATAACTCCTCAAGGCGAAATAGCTAAGCTCATTTCTAGCTTCAGGCCTACAAGTTTTCTGCTCACTCCACTCAAAGTTTTGGAGAAATAGTCAAAAGCTGCTTACTCGCATGGGTATTGAAACTTCAGTGCATTCCTCTTGAGCAGCATGGTTTCCTCCCTGGCTCTTCCACTTGCACACAACTCATAGACTGCACTCATTCCTGGATTGAAGCGCTCAACTCCGGGCAAAAAGTTGGAGTTGTGTACTTTGATCGGACTGAAAGCTTTCGACAGTGTGAGTCGATCTAGCCTCCTCGCAAAACTGAAAAGCATGGGTGCTCAAGGGAATGTTTTCAATGGTTTCTGTCCTATTTGAGTGGCTGGAAAATGAGGGTACGCTCTACAAACTATGTATCAGCACCGAGAGACTGTACTTCAGGAGTTCCGCAAGGGGGTAGTTTGTCCCCACTACTGTTTCCTCATATACACTTACGACCTCGTTAACTTCCTGAAGATTGATCGTAAGCTTCATGTTGCAGCTTGTGCAATCGACATAAAAGTACCTATTGGTTATGATGACAAAAGTAGAGATGATGCCCAAAGGCTTCTGAATCAAAGCAGTCGAGAATATGCATAAGTGGTGTGCTCAGTGGGGACTCAGGATTTCCAAGAAGGATATCTTTTCTCGTTGGGAAGCCCACAGCTTGAAATACGGTTCCTGATGGGAGCCTAGTAACACCAGTTGACAGTGTTAAAGATCTTGGTGTCAGTTTGTCGAATGATTTTAAATGGAGTACTCACGTTCATGACACCTCAGGTAAAGCGCTCAGGCTTGTCACCTTGATTTCAGAAATGTGCATACCTCTGACATCTCTACATGGATTAAGCTTTACAAAATGTATGTCTCTCCAATAATTGGTTATTGTAGCTCTGTATGGAGCCCTTCATTAAACAAGGATATCCAAACAATTGAAAAAGTTCAGAAACACCTACTAGAATCCTTTTCCACGGTCTTTCCGAACAATGGCTATGTGCGAGCTTTGCCATCGTACCAAGCTCGACCAACTTAACTTAAGGAGCCTTTTTATAGGCGCATTCAATCTGATTAAATTTTGGCGTTCAAACTACTGAAGGGCGAGTTGCGCAACAAGCCATCTGAATATTGGACTTAGAAAAACTTCCAGGCGGCGAGGCACAATTCGGTTTCCACAGCCTTTGAATGGGCAGATGGCGTCGTGAAAGAGCTCGATCTTTCGTATTGAGACCGGATAAGTGGATCGAGTCGGTTCCTTCTTGGTTAATGGAGCACGGCGATTTGAGGCAATTCAGAAAACACATGAAAAAGATCGATACTAGAAATGTTGGGCATAGCTGATGTCTCCTGAAGCTCGGTATCGTCACTCGCCAGTATCTAGTTCACACGAAATTCTTTTTGCGGCTGCCCCCTTTTCGCTATCTCATGATGTATTCCAGCCCCTCAGACTTACCAGCACAGATGTTTACTCTCCAAAACCCTGTCTCGATGCTGCTGTGAAGAATCAATACGAGTAATCCACCATATCACCTGTGAGTACCAAAGTATCCTGTCCGGCTCAACGCACTCATGCGGTTTGCTTGTGACGCTTAACTAGCTTGCCGTTTCCACGTGGGAAGTCGGTGTACCCGTGTTTCGGAGTCTCGGTAAGCTCCTATGACCCCGAAAGTGGCGACTGGGCATCTTAGCCGACAGATGCAGTGGGCGCCACATCCGGTCATGAGGTGATGCGATGCTCCTGATACTTCTTATATGGTACTCATAACCTTTCTCCGTCCATAAGCACCAACACATGCAACATCAAAGCGCACTTCTTGGCTAGTAAGCCTTTCAACTATCAAATTTTTTCATTTGGATTATTCTTAAGATCTGTCCTTACGCGTTTACCTAGTTCAGTGCTACGCACTATTGTTTTCCTGAGTTTTCGTTGTTACATCCTCTGCTTAACTTCGTGTTTTTATTTTTTTCTTCTTATCCTAGTCAGTACTGCCACGTTTTACTTACCGCACTCGCTATCCGTTGACTGACCATGGCGCGTTCGTTGGGCGCAAGATAAATAAATAAATGCATCGACAGCTCCAAAACTTCTGAGCCTATTTTAGTAGGCCGACTTTGAGTTGCTGCTATCGGTGACAGGAATTTTACCCACTGTTCGACACATTTTGAAGAACTTACTGCCAGAAAACACATGAGAAAAGCAAACAAAATGGGAGACCTCGCGATCGCATTGTATCACACCAAAGCTGGTAAAAAAACTGGCGCGCTGATGAATGATTCACCTTCCGCAAGACAAAAATCAAACATTGACAGCAGCATGTGTTGAAGACTCTCTTCAGGGCTTCGTATACCGGATATGCAATAGCGGAAAAAAACTTGGAACAAGCCCAAGTTGCGCACTTTTGATAGTTTTACATATAACAATTTTTTAACTGCACCTGAAAACTTTGCTTGCTCAAATCAAGTGCGCCCTGAAAAGCTATTCTGAGAAATGAAGTTGCTTGGTTAAACTCTATACCGAAACAGGATTTCGAAGCTTATTGCGATACAGCATGTCGCTGCCACTCTAATATTGGACCGGTTTTTAAAGTTTCCATTGCTTTAAAAACAACGCAGCGTTCTCGAATATCTGCTTAAAAAAGAAATGGATAGATTGAAGCGAAGCAAGCAGACAAGTGTAATGCGTTCCAGCATGGATCGCAAAGCCATTAGGTGGATCGCAAAGCATTAGAAACTTTGAGATTTGATTCAGTACCGGAGTGGCCGCGGCATGCCACTCTCAACATTCCTAAAAATTCTATCCTGGTGACCAATCTAGTTAATAGACTTCATTTTTTGAAATAGCATTTCAAGACGATTTGAGCAGATTGACTTGAGCAGAGAAAGTTTTCATGTACAGTTTGAATATTGTATGTTGGACTATTAAAAAGCGAGCAACTTGGGCTTTCCAATTTTTTCCTCGACACTATATCGATCATATCAATCTGTCATTTATTCACTCACGCGGCATCAGTAGAGAGCAAGCACTTCAGGTGCGAAGCAAATGTCAGCTGGGTTTGCTCGAAGCTGGACACTGCCTTTCCTTCGGCACCAAGTCAGGGTGAACAGGAGTGTTTTAGATACGAGATATGAAAAACTCAACAGACAGAAAGCCAACCTTATATTAACGGCTACGATACCTCCACCTCCGCTTGAACCAGACTGTTCGCCTTTGCCACCCGTCCTGTTGAAGAGGAAAATGAGTAGACTGCAGCACAAAACAAAACGCTACAGGAAGAAGTATTAGAAATTCCTCCAAGCATTCACTGCTACAAATCTATTCAATTCATCATGAGGACTCAACTCACTGGGCTACTGATCCTTTGACTCCTCCAGTATTAGCAGCTTCAGATTGTGAACCCGGTCCTCCCGTCCTGTCGAGATAGAAAGGAATCATATCATGGCATAATATCAACTCTTCGTAGAAAGCAAAGCGAAGGAAGTTTCTGGGGAGTCAGTCGTGTCAATACCTTCTCCCGCTCTTTCGTAGTACAAGCATTCACCGATATCTAATTCATCATGAGGACTCAACTCACTGGGCTACTGATCCTTTGACTCCTCCAGTATTAGCAGCTTGAGATTGTGAACCCGGTCCTCCCGTCCTGTCGAGATAGAAAGGAATCATATCATGGCATAATATCAACTCTTCGTAGAAAGCAAAGAAAACGAAAAGTTTCTGGGGAGTCAGTCGTGTCAATACTTTCTCCCGCTCTTTCGTAGTACAAGCATTCACCGATACAAATCTAATTCATCATGAGGACTCAACTCACTGGGCTACTGATCCTTTGACTCCTCCAGTATTAGCAGCTTGAGATTGTGAACCCGGTCCTCCCGTCCTGTCGAGATAGAAAGGAATCATATCATGGCATAATATCAACTCTTCGTAGAAAGCAAAGCAAACGGAAGTTTCTGACGCTGAGCAGTCATGTCAATACTTTCTCCCGCTCTTTCGCAGTACAAGCATTCACCGATACAAATCTAATTCATCATGAGGACTCAACTCACTGGGCTACTGATCCTTTGACTCCTCCAGTATTAGCAGCTTCAGATTGTGAACCCGGTCCTCCCGTCCTGTCGAGATAGAAAGGAATCATATCATGGCATAATATCAACTCTTCGTAGAAAGCAAAGAAAACGAAAAGTTTCTGGGGAGTCAGTCGTGTCAATACCTTCTCCCGCTCTTTCGTAGTACAAGCATTCACCGATATCTAATTCATCATGAGGACTCAACTCACTGGGCTACTGATCCTTTGACTCCTCCAGTATTAGCAGCTTGAGATTGTGAACCCGGTCCTCCCGTCCTGTCGAGATAGAAAGGAATCATATCATGGCATAATATCAACTCTTCGTAGAAAGCAAAGAAAACGAAAAGTTTCTGGGGAGTCAGTCGTGTCAATACTTTCTCCCGCTCTTTCGTAGTACAAGCATTCACCGATACAAATCTAATTCATCATGAGGACTCAACTCACTGGGCTACTGATCCTTTGACTCCTCCAGTATTAGCAGCTTGAGATTGTGAACCCGGTCCTCCCGTCCTGTCGAGATAGAAAGGAATCATATCATGGCATAATATCAACTCTTCGTAGAAAGCAAAGCGAAACGAAAAGTTTCTGGGGAGTCAGTCGTGTCAATACCTTCTCCCGCTCTTTCGTAGTACAAGCATTCACCGATATCTAATTCATCATGAGGACTCAACTCACTGGGCTACTGATCCTTTGACTCCTCCAGTATTAGCAGCTTGAGATTGTGAACCCGGTCCTCCCGTCCTGTCGAGATAGAAAGGAATCATATCATGGCATAATATCAACTCTTCGTAGAAAGCAAAGAAAACGAAAAGTTTCTGGGGAGTCAGTCGTGTCAATACTTTCTCCCGCTCTTTCGTAGTACAAGCATTCACCGATACAAATCTAATTCATCATGAGGACTCAACTCACTGGGCTACTGATCCTTTGACTCCTCCAGTATTAGCAGCTTGAGATTGTGAACCTTTTCCTCCTGTCCTGTTGAGGGAGAAAGAGATCAATCCATGGCACATAAGCTCACAATAAGAAAGAAAGAAAGCGAGGATTTTCTCAAAAAAGAAATCAGATTTCTGCTGATGTTGTTTCTGTGCTGAAAAACTGAACAAGAAAGTTTTTCAAAAATCAATACTTTTCCATACCATTTATGGTATAAACAGTTCTCTTTGGGGTATAAAAAGTGGGAATCAGGTCATGACACAACATGAACCCTCTGTACATAGTTGAATATTCATGATTTGAACGAAAAGCCGTTGTGCGGTACAGTATCCTTTTATTCATTCATTCCCAAAAGAGTCGATCAGGTTTCTGTTCTCCCATTTTACTAAAAAATCTACTATATATAGTTTGTTACGTCTGCCTGCCTGCCTGTCCGGAAATTCAGTGCTATCAATCGGAATGATACCACATACTCATGACACGCCTTCCCATTGACGATGCGGTACAGTTCATGTTCAATGATCGTCTTTCGAGTGCAACTCGCCAGCCGGACTCAAAAGACGATTCTTGGGAGCCACCAAATGACCCTTCACTGCTTTCAGCGACTCTCGTGGGGGTTTGTGTATATACGCGTGTTTGCGAGTGCGTGCGCGTGTGTGTCACGAAATGCATAGTGTATACTTCTTTGGGCGGTAACAAAGTTCGGCAGAAAGGATTCATGAAACGAAGGGCGCTTCTACGGCTGATTTGACATAGGTTTTCGCGTCATAGAGGCTCTTGTTCTTGCTGAATCAACATACGGACGAGAGGATAGGTAGTAGCTCAAGCACCTACTTCGACTCAGTGAGAGGTACCGTGAGATGAACACGAAAGGTCAGCTAAGATGCAGTAGAATTTGAGACCGTCCGGAAAATTGGTTCTACGTGAAGAATAACTGGATAGGTTGCATCAACGCTGCGATGGGTAGGGTTGGGCTAAGATGTAAGGAACACATATAACCTATGCTGAGACCCGACCACAGAGAGCGGGCATGTGCCGAAAGAGTTGTGTGTCTGTGGTGTGGAAAGTGGGCAGTCATACTCTTTTCCACTTTTCGCCACAGGTACATTTGTTATCGGGAGGCTCACCGTCAGATGCCGGTGTGCCACTTGCATGATGCGGCCCGCATTAGGCGGCGCGGGTGTGGCTTCGCTGCTCATATCTTCTTTCAGATATTCGAATACTCCACTGAAACCCCGGCTTTTCTCCCATCTTGGCCCTTGATCAAGGCTCCTTTCCGCCATTCTGTAGAGATAATAGTATCAAATAATAACAGGTCTGTTGTCATTGGTCAAGGAGCATTGTTCATGTGTATAGATGAACTATGGGCTGAGTACAGGTTTTGTATCCAAACATACGAAGGAAGGTACGCGCTGCCAAGCCGCGCGTCACAAAAGGAGGCATGCCGGCCTCAGCAAGCGAGCCGACCAGTTATAGATGTTATAAATAATAACAATCTTTATGTACTAACCACCAGTTTTTTTTGGATTCCTCACAATCTTCACAACTACAAAAGTCTTCGGCCGCCACGTTGCTTCATTACTCCTAATGGATTCTGGATTGTTATTATAAGGTCACTTTAAGGAGAACAACTTTTAGTCATGGGAGAGATGTGTCTTGGCTGACTTCACAAGTTACTAATTTCCACGTCTCACGCCTTGACATCGGCATGACATGATGTCGAATTTTGATCTTTTCTTTGGAACCATGAGGCGGGGGGGGGGGTCGAACCCGTCTGGAAGGCTCACCGTTTGACCGTCCGAACAAAAGGCGCACTTTCGGGCGGGAAAGTATCACATCAAAGGGAAGGAGACGACCCCTCAGCGTCTCCTCGGTTTTATCGCAGGGATCAGTCCTGTTAGTTGGGCTGTTGTGTCTCCTGCGCTCCCCAATTTAAATCAGCCTTTTCATGGAGTGGGACTGTCTTTCCACTATTACCCATAACTTTCAGTCCTTGTTTCCTGCACGCCATCAATAAAATGCTCCACTCATCATTCAAGCCATCAATAAAATGCTCCACTTTACTATAATTGATGCATCTAATGATTAAGCCTGTGCAGCCAAAAAATGGCTGCACATCTGCAGCAACCTCCAACAACTCTAGCGTGGCTTTTGTTTTCAAACTAGCTATCTCCGGTTATACCCCTCACTGATGATTAACTGGCGTTTCCCCTCATTAATGATCACCTCTCATCAATAATCATCAATAAATGCTTTACTTTACCATGACGTTGCGCCTAATGATAAGCCTGTGCAGCTGAAAAGTGATAGTAGATCTGCAAGAACAAACTCCAGCTTAGCTTTTCTTTTCAAACTTCCTATCTCCGGTTATAACCCCTCATTAATGATCGATTGGCGCTAATCACACTTTTCAGAGGACCTCCTATTCGTTGGAAATACGGAAAGCATGGCGACCGAAAGAGTTTTGATGATAACAATATCGAGATGATAGTGAAAGTCTTCACATCCTCTCGCAGCAGCGGTGAAGCATTTTCACATATTACCTGTAGGTGGCTCTTATCAATCCTCATTGGCGAGCATCTTTGGACGTCTACTCCTAGCACTTTTACGATATTATCAGCTATTATCACTTCCTGCCTTCCACAAATGTTTATCCAAACCTACCTACACCACCTACATACGTACTGGAACTAATCGTTGCTGTGGCTCAAAATATGAGATCGGTGACCTACCCATTCTAGTGCCTTTTGAGATCTTATCAGTTGTGATCACTTCCTGCCACATACCAATGTTTTTTTTCTAACCTACCCTCTATATCACTTATTGGAAAAGATGTGCCATCGTTGCTGTGGCCCAAGATATGATGTTAGGGACTCTCCCCTTTAAACGCCTTTTATGGTATCTTATCAGTTGTTATCACTTCCTGCCACCCACCAATAGTGTTCCTGTCCCACCTCCTACATCAATCAAGGGCTTGAACACCTTGCGATGAAATCAATGGGAGTTATGAATTTTCGGTTACACACACACACTAACCGGTAGACTTAGCGGATTATATATGGAAGGATCCTTCTCAATTGTTTGTCAATATTGTTCTGCTTGTACGAAAGGTTATGATCACGGTGATATTCCCGGCTCAGTAACCAGAGATATCCGTACCTGGGAAACTAGTGGAGTAAGCCGTGATTTGGGGCAGTCTTCATTGTAATAGGAAGGCAAGGTGTCGGATCGATTGAATGACCAAACTAGAGGAAAGGATCAACTATCATTGGAGAGAGGATTCAAGAGCAGAGATGTAGACAAGGTGGGGTCATGGTTGATTGATCGAGGGTCCAATCTGTACAATTCCGACACTCGTTCATGGTCGTGGTTATTTCGAGACAACGGCGTCATTCTGTGTTGAGTGAAGAACACACATTAAGTAAGGGCATTCTCCAGA